GTCGTTTTTTATATTACGTGCTTACGTACACTGCGTTTACCCAGATTTATTTAATATTTTAAGGAAATATTGTGGAATTATATAGATATTAAGAAAAGTAATAAACTTTTATTAAATAACGTTTAAATATAAGTTTCCTATTTATTTACCTATTGTTACGATATTTCCATAGATTCTTCCGCTAAAACATCAACGAATATATAAATAAAATTGTCAATTGAAAATGTAAGCATTTTACAATATTCTTCTTTACAAATATACTTACGCATTTCATTGAACATAAAATCATCTTGATATTCTTTGAGAAATTGTGTAGATCTGTTTTCATCGAGGAACAGCGAGTACACACGCTTCACATCATCGATATTGACCTGAAAATACATATTATCTTCACTATTTTAAACATTTTCTTTAGACATTACAGAAATCCGTAATAGTACAGAAATATTATGCATGAGTAATAACATAATATTATATTCACTTCTGTACTCTTTCTACGCCGACTAACGAGAGAAGCGGTCGTAATCAACTGAATCGCATATCTCAATGACGTTTCCAACGCGATTCTGGTAAGAACCGTTAGAGCATCGTCTGCCATTTCACAATCTTCTTCTTCACATCTTATTTTTAGAATTTCTTTCAATTCTTTCTCTTGATAAGGACTAGTTGGAACGATGATCATACGATCTAATAAATCTATTGGAATGCCATGTGGACTTTTGTAATTTGTACCCCTGATTCTTGTAATACCTGTAAGATTCAATGATTAACTTTATATTTATTAAAACAGTGTATATGAATGATGCCATGTAGATACCTCTGTTTGTAGCCATGATAACGACTGGTGCCATTTCATTTTCGAGTGCACGATTAAGAAACGAGAAACATTCAATGTCCAGCATGTGAACTTCGTCGATAAATAAAACGCCTGGAACAATTTCTGCTTTTCCTTCCTCACGCCATTCGGCGACTTTAGCATTTATTTGCTCTCGTACTTCTGATTTAATTTCTCCTGTATCTCCAGAGAATAATGCCAAAAACCCATGGGTTCTACTATTTATAACATCGACTTCGTGTAAGGTTACTGTATGTACGACCTCTTTGCGTTTTTGTAATTCACCCTCAGGACACTGCACAAAGCGAGTTTGAGAACCAGTTGCGTCATAGTCGCGGGCTCTAGTGAATGACCTTCCAAGTCTGTTTATTTTTCCTGTAGCTTTGTCAATTGTAATCACATCTCCAGCTTGTACCTTAAATAAATCATTTTAAGAAACCTTAGACAAGATATTAAAAAGAAATTGTAAATATAAATCATTGATACATATGTACACTAACTTTTTCTTTCATCAAACTGTCAATCATTTTGTTTCCTAAATCATAAATTGTTTCCATCTCTGTTGTTTTCAATGTTAATTTACCAACTTTAGCACCTACACCTGTAGCAGGTCTGTCCACTTGAATTTCAACTACTTCACCTTCTATAATTTCTGTTTCCTCTTTAATTCTAACACCGATTGACTTTCTAATAGCTTGAGTTAAAGCTTCAGTTTTACTCATTTCTAAAGAATATATTTCAGAACCTGCCATTGAAGTAAATGGAGTATCCATCCCCAAAGCTTGTGCCATTCCCATAGCAATAGCAGTCTTTCCAGTACCAGGTTGACCTGCCAACAATATAGCTCTGCCTGCTATTTTACCATCTTTAATCATCTCAAGAACAACACCTGCAGCCCGACGTGCTTTAAGTTGACCAACCATTCCTTGGGATACCTGGAAAATAGCATACGGTTAATTAAAGTAAGTAGCACACTAAGACTATGTGAAATTTTGATATATTACATGACGAGGTTCAAAACTATCATCCAACCCTAAACCTCTAATATGAGAATGTGCACCAATTCTTTCTATTCTTGTGATTTCACGAACTTCTTGGATTTTTGCAGCTGCAACAGCCTGAAACAAAAATTATGTTAATTAGTTATAACAGTAGTGTATACTAATTTTTACACATTGCACCTAATACTATGAAAATAAGTATTGATTAAACAATGGTTGCTATGCCAACTTATTTTACTTGAATTTCAAGATGAAACACAAGAATATAAAATATTATTCTATTTAAAATTGATTCAATATACTATACTACTTGAAAAATATTCCAAAAAATAATACGATAAATGAAAGTATTCTTTATATTCTTCAGCATAACAAATAACTTTCAGATAGGTTAATTGACTTAAAGGAGACAAAAACATGTTAATACGAATATAGTTATGAAATATAATACATCGATTTATAATCAATTAATAAATATAATTTTAACTTATGTTAAGAATTTACCGCCATGTTTGCCGATTTTTCACGTGTTCTCTTTTTACACTATCAACAAAATACGGCTTTTTCAACCACTCTAAGCATGCTATTTACAACGTCATGAACATGCAATAGGAAGGAAACCTGTAGTTGTATAGGATATAACGTTAAGAGAGCCATCTAAGAAATAGATTTGGAACTAATAATTCCGATGTAAAACTATCGGTTATAACGTAATCGAGCGGTAAAAATTTAATTCAAACACTATTAGTAAAAAAAGGAATATATGTATATATAAAGTAACTAACTGCTCTTTTTTATTTATAATATTTTGTTATTTCGATAAATGTTTTTGATAGAAATAACTTTAACCTTTCAATTAAACTATCTTTTAGATAGAATCTCTGCATCGCAATAAACTTTAATTGCGTTTCAAACAGTACTTTATTTGTTAACGCAAAACTTACATTAAAATTACTGTAGCATTTATAAACGATTACAAAGTGTAGACAATTATATCATTATTTTTCTTTCATTCCCATGTATATATATATATTTGCAAAATACTTCGTATATGTACATAAAGAATATCAAAGAAGTATAAACTATGAAATAAAGAAGGTATAAACTATGAATTTTTCAAACACTTACAGCTTTTAAATCTTTTGTCATAAAGACAATGAAGTTCTTTCATGAAATTAACAATCTGACAATATACTATTTCTGTAACCAAAAATAAAATAAAATTAATAATTATAACGAAATATACTTTGTATAACTATAGTCGAATGACACGTAATACACATATCGTAGGAAGGATTTGACGAAGCTGATCGAAAGCCAACGACGGTTTCTTCGAGATATCTCGTGCCATCTGTTGTTGCAAAAGAAACATAAGGCAATGTGTTTATCAGTGAATCGACGTAGATTCGTCATGTTTAAAGTAGTCCGAGAAACCGACTCGGCCCCGTTAAGCCCTTGTGACCTTTCGTAGTTTGTGGTGACCTTCACGGGAGGTTGACCGTGGAACTGTTCGTTTGTCCACCCACTTGCTTTTCAACTGTTCTGTTTTTTCTATTGTGATATATTGTTTTAAACGGAAGTAAGTGAATTCTTAGTACTTGAAGATTATTTATCGTCTTGTGTTTTTATTAAATGTTCGTGCTTTCAACAAAGTTTATTCCGCCGCATGGTCTAATGGAACCGGCAAACCCTTAGAGAAGAGGCAATACTTTATGCTGTCATTGAACTCCGATAGACTTTTTAAAGACACAACGTGCTCCTTTCGATTACAATATTTTTTTTGACGAATTTAATACATAGTAGAAGACTTCGTACTCCTATAATTGCACACGTTCGCATTGATCTTGATCTTCGTCTAGAAATAGAATATTCAAACATCGTTTCAATACTTTAACTGATTTAGAGATGAAACAAAACATTCGTCTCTTATATAGATGTTGTTGTTTATTATCGTATTTTTAGTTATTTAATTGATTTTGTATTGCATTGTTTGTATAGTTTTTAAGAAATAAAATAGCAAATTGAAATTAATGTTGCTTGTTCAAGAAAACATTCAATATGCAAACAAAAATTTTTAACACATACCTAAAAGTTCTGTATATAGAGAAAAATTTTTCACATTAGTTGCAATTCATAAATAGCATTGTAACAAGTAATATGTCTCTATCATTAAAATTTAATACATCATTACTAAAGCAGTTGAAATTCTTTTGTACACCTTAATTCTCCCCAAGACATTAGATGTATTATTGTAAACATACGCAAATTTAAATTTGTTACACAAATACAGGTTGCAAAACAGGTAACAAAATGTCAAGGGAACGTGTATCTAGAAGATTTTATCGTATGGACAGCAGTAATGATTTACTTGAATTTATGGATCGTGGATATTCAGCACAACATGAAAATCGATGGAATTTTGAAGTTGCTTGGGAAGCTGCTAATAAAGGTGTACATAATGCAACAAAGTAAAATACTAATTTCTTCATTTATGTCAATTATTTTTAACTGTTGTATTTTTAGTTGGTGGTATATACACTGTAATACGTTCCAAAGCTTTTGTATCAACAGAAGAAATGGGAGATCAATATTGCCTTATCGGCCCATATAAAGAAACCTCAGCACGTACTGAAGTTGAGGAAGCAGACTTTCCTCATAATAGCCCATTGCATTTAGCTGTACAAGTTTTACGTGATCAAGGCTTTAAAGTAAGTTTATATAACATTATACAAGATATTAACTATTAAACTGAATTAACATTTTAATTGCAAAGGCAAATAAAAATTAAAAAAAAAACATGTAATGGTGCATGAACTTGTTGAAGCAAAACTTGTTATTCTAACACACACATATATATACCTACAGTTACTGAAATATTTTATTATGTACCAAGAATAATGATTTGGCTAAAGTCCAGATACAAGGCTAAAATTAATTCAAGGGCATTTGCCTCTGTAGGTGATTTATGTAGTTATTCTCTGCTCTCTTCTTCTTTGTTGTAAAAATTTTTTAACTGTAAAAACAACTGAAATCTATTTTACCATAAAGTAAGAGCTCTTATTGAGGTGGTAACAGGAACCTGGTTAGTGGATGGAAATCCACAAATCATTCTGTTCGATATTGGAAGTGCAGCATGGAAGTTGGATGAATATAAGCAAGAATTATGGAATACTTGTAATCTTGCTATTCCACATTTGGATATAGAAGCTAATGATGCAGTTATTCTCGGTTATCTCGTTTGTCAATTTATGGCTGAATTCAGGTAAATCTTATATTACATGAAAATCAATCTTATTTCCCTTGTTGCCTCTTTCAAATAATAAGGATGGATTGTACAATTTTAGACTAGCTGCAGAAGGATATTCAGATGTCCCTCCGCGTATAGTCATTCATTGCCACGAATGGCAAGCCGGCGTTGGTCTAATTGCGATAAGAACCAAACACGTGGATGTAGCTACAGTTTTTACTACGCATGCAACTCTCCTTGGAAGATATTTATGCGCGGGAAAGACTGATTTTTATAATAATTTAGATAAGGTATTGTAGCTACTAAAATTAATTTCCTTTTTCTGATATAATTTAAATTAATTCGCATGATTTATTTACAGTTTAATGTCGATGAAGAAGCAGGGAAACGCCAAATTTATCATAGATATTGTATGGAACGTGCAGCCGCGCATTTGGCGCACATATTTACAACTGTTTCGGACATAACGGGCTTCGAAGTGGAGCATTTGTTAAAACGGAAACCCGATATAATTACGCCAAATGGGCTCAACGTAAAAAAATTTGCAGCATTACATGAATTCCAAAATTTGCATGCTGTTAGTAAAGAAAAAATACATGAATTTGTTAGAGGTCATTTTTATGGGTATGTGTTAATAATAATGAATTTATGTAATACTTAGTCCCTATTCTATAAATTGTATGCATTAAATCGCTGTTTTAGACATTACGATTTTGATTTGGATAAAACTTTATACTTTTTCATTGCTGGACGTTATGAATTTGGAAACAAGGGTGCCGATATATTTATCGAAGCTTTGGCTAGACTAAATCATTATTTAAAAACATCTAGACCTGATGTAACTGTCGTAGCTTTTCTCATTTTTCCAGCGCGGACTAATAATTTTAATGTAGAATCATTGCGTGGACATGCTGTAAGTGAGATAATTTTCTGCTTGAATTGAAAAAGGATTACGTTGATTATTGAAAATTTGTTTTCTCGTTATAGGTTACCAAGTCGTTGCGAGATACGATTAACGACATACAACAAAAAATAGGGAAACGTATGTATGAACAGTGCCTATCTGGTCGCATGCCTGACGCACAAGATCTTTTACAGAAAGAGGATACTATTAAAATTAAACGGTAATATTTGATTGGGACCCGTGATAATATTACTTAGAGACAAAAAAGGAAATGGATGTTAACATTTTCTGTATTGTTATAGATGTTTATATGCTTTACAAAGGAATGGATTGCCACCAATTACCACGCACAATGTTATAGACGATTGGAACGATCCGGTATTGAACGGTATCAGAAGATGTAACCTTTTCAATACGGTTAACGATCGAGTAAAGGTAATGTGATACGTACGTTACTCATGTATACGTATCACTGCTTGATTATATCTAACTGGTATCAATTTCACATTGTAGATAGTATTTCATCCGGAATTTCTATCATCGACGAATCCATTATTCGGTCTCGATTATGAAGAATTTGTTAGGGGTTGTCATTTGGGTGTCTTCCCATCATATTACGAGCCTTGGGGCTACACGCCTGCAGAATGTACAGTCATGGGTATTCCTAGTATAACTACAAATTTGTCTGGTTTCGGGTGTTTCATGCAGGAACATATAGCTGATCCAATGAGTTATGGTATTTATATTGTGGACAGACGATTCATAGGTCTGGAAAACAGTGTCCAACAACTTGCTCAATACATGTTTGATTTTGCACGGTTAAGTCGTCGACAACGTATTATTCAGAGAAACCGTACAGAACGTCTTAGCGATCTTCTTGACTGGAGAAATCTTGGCATTGTAAGTATATTTACTATGTAAATTTTAATCTGTAGCCTCTTCGTTGTGATTCTTTGACTAAATCAATTACATGTGATTATTTCTGTAGTATTACCGTCAGGCCAGAATTAAAGCTTTGATTAAAGTTTATCCAGAATTGGCTTCTGAATATGCCGAAGGTGGAGTAGGGCGTTTTAGTTATCCTAGGCCGATTAGTGAACCACCGTCACCTTCATCTTCGAGACACACTACGCCAGCTGCTTCGGTGCACGGGTCCGATGAGGAGGATGAAGTAGACGACGAAAAGGAGGTTTGTGATGTTTTATCTACTTTCTATTTCAAACTTCAATTTAAACATTCAAGTTAGGTTTCGAAATTTGAAATTATTATATTTTGTTACAGTTGGAGGAATTACGCCAAACAGCTGGTAGATAAATGCTAAAAAATATCGAGAAACTAGTGGCGAACAATTATGTATATTAGATGAATACGTGGAGACTTCGCGATAGTAGAGCCAAAAATTTGTTTAATATGGTCTTCCATGAAGAGAATTAACTAAATAAGTCATTCGTTCGTCATACTTTTCACTTTTACAGTTATTCGTCATATGCTCTTGTTGCTTACACACCATACGAGAAATACTCATGACAACATAACAGTATATACAACAGTATTTATATTACATGACAACAAAATCGTTACGAACAAGTCTTCCACGAATTATATTCGCACGTAATGTTCCACTGACCTACGATGAGATTGTTATCTTTTAAAAATTATATTTGATATTATACATACGCGTATATTTAGCGAGTGTTCCTATTGTATAGAGACGGTTATATATTTTTATGAGAATTAGTACAGAAATAAAATTTTTTAACATTTTTAGTTATTGAATTGTCGGGCCGATCAATGTTTTCCTTAGTGATTCTGTATGTTCGTTTTTGTTGATGTGATGTTTTCTGAAAATAAAATTTTTAAATGTATACTTTAATTGGCTTTATACCTTTTTTTTTTTCTTTTACAAGAACGCTGAAGATTTTTCGGTTTGTAAGAATTATTATATTATTAATCATCAACATAATATACAAAACAAAGTGCTAAAAAGTTACATTCTCTTTACGGCGAAATTATTACATTTGGCATTCACAATTACCAAACTGTCTTGTTTCCTGCAAAAACTTTAAAATAAATATATACACATTAAGAAACGAGTAACATATTACATAACAATACGTCTTAATATAACAAGTACAACAATATACAAAGCCGTTAATCATCTTTGCAATCAGTTAAAAAGTATTTAAATGTCTTTGATGATTATTACACTGAGAGAGTGAAATTTTGGAATGGTTCATTACCACGTAAAGCTGGGTAAATATACGAGGAGATGTATGAGACGAGATTCGACACATTTTCCACCTTTTATGTCCGCTTCCATGATTTATACGCTAACGTTCATGTATTACAAAAAATGCTGACATCGAATACAAAATATTCTAGTTCCTAGAATACATAACGATATACTAAACGTGATCAACACCTTCACCGTGAAAGCCAAATATTATCGGCCATGATTTTCTAAAACGATAAGATTAGCATGGTAGGCAGTAGTGACGCATAGTAGCTACGAGTTTATAAACTGAAGAGCAAGAGCACTAGACGATACTGTTGATTTTCGATACATCAATTTTTGTTCGCTAATAGCGTGGTAACGATCGTTTTCATCTTATTTCTCGCCGATGAAAATTGCCAGAAAATATGGATATAACGAGCGGTGAAAGTGATGATCCGTATCATTTAAGAATAATAATAAAGTCACCTCTGTAAAAAGTTGTTCGTCACACTAGCAAAAATTACATGATCAGAGAAAACAATGGAACAGATTTTTCCGATCGAATCATTAATAAAAATAGAAGAAGCGATTCCCGTAAAGCAATACTAAATTGCAGTTAGTTGTGAATTTTTTTTTTTTTTATTCAATACTTAATAAATTATATAACCGAATCGAAATAACTTTAGGCCTATGTCCGATTGAATGATACTAAGGATATGTTACACGTTTATCAACAAAGAGATTAATGATACACGCCTAAAGAAGCAATAAAACGTTCTCGTAGAGAGTACACGCGAGCGATGCTGGTTAAACCTAAATGGCACGTTTTATACATTACATACAATATGAAAACTTTACACAGAGGAAGAAAGTAACTACAATTTATTAAACGGAAAAATGAATCGCGCGTATTGTAATAAACGTTAAAATTGTTAATAATACGTGTTCGTAATACTTTGATTCCTCAATGCAATTCCTTCCTTTGAAACTTATAAAGCCCGTTTTGCCTTCGAATTCGGTACAACCTTTCAACGAAAGTTTACGGTACTTTGTGGAACTTTTGCCTTGCTTGTCTTTCGACATTATTCGCGTGTAAAAATATTTGTAATTTCTATGACAAAATATGCAGTTGCTAACGTAGCTCAGTTTCCGTGTATCCATCGTAAGTTCAGTTCAAATCAATTCATCGGCAAAAAGTGAATTTCCCCGCGCCTGTTGTTCTCATCTTTTTTACACAACTTGCGGTTTATCTCGTTCAAGAATTATATTAGAAATAGAATTAATAGGAGACACTCCCGTGTTATATTCGGCGATTATATTCTATCCGAAGATATAAAACTGTACGTTCATATCCTAATCTTTGACAGACACACGGGATAGGTCTACAAAGCCGGTATTATATGTTTTTCATTCATCTAAATGCGTTAATTAATAATTAGACTTTTCTCGAACTGGCAAGTTTACATCGCTTACTGCATACTTTTATTACATTTTCGTCGAAGCTTTTTATATGTCAGGGAAGGAAGGGAGGTTGCTTTTTAGACCATAGGTATAAACAACCTTTGGTTACATAACAAGAGGACTAATATTATGATATATCGCGCAGTAGTCGATAAATATATATATACATATATATGTATATACATATATATATATATATATATTTGTTTGAAAACTAATCTAAGAGTCTTTAGTTAATTGGCATTTAACGGCGTATGGCCTCAAGATACGAGTGAGTTTCACGCAGTCGATATTTTTCTTTTTTCACTTTTCCTTCCTGGTGGGGCAGAAAAGTTTTAAAATGCAACATTTTTGCTGTCGCGCGTGTCTCTAAATTAGCCCGTTTAATCTTCCGCGAATCTTGTATATTTGGTCGTACGAAATTGCTGATAAATATTCTACTAACTTTGGCTACAAACACCATCCACTATACGATAGAACGATACACGACTATCGCTCAAAGACAAGATCCATTCAAACTCATTCGATTGAAAATTCCGTTGCTTCCGAGAAAAAGAAGTTTCAATATTGACTTTTAAACGACCAATCTTTTCCGTTGAATCGCCAGCTTTTTTCCTTTTTAAACGGCAACGTTTACAACAAAATAATCGTTTCGCGTTATTAAAATACGATTCATACATTTTGATCCTGTGCATTCATAAAATTGCTTCTATTTTCAGAAACACCGAGAGGTGTGAAATTGAATTAAGAACCAGGATCCTCAAATAACTACATGTTCCGATACACTTCTAGGAAGGGGTATTACAGAGATTGAGAGGTGCAGCTTTTATACTGGTGCGTACGGTACCTGGGCACCGTGCGTAGCTAGGTGTCCTGATCGTTCGTTTGCTCCTCGGAGAACTAGCGAATGGACGGATTTTACGTATGGCTCGATTGTGTTCCTCCCATTCTCTGTTGCATCATGTTCAGGAGCAACTCGGAGTATTGTTGCATCACGTTAACGATCTTTCCTTGGTCTTGCCCGGCAAGCAGTTCTTGGAATTTCGCGATCGTCTCATTTATTGTAACATTTTCCGTGTTTCCCGAGCCGTCATGGCTATCACCTGAAACGACTAATCGCAACGTGCGCATCGTTTCGTTTACGGATGATTCAAGGCCACGCAGCATCGTGTCCCTATCAATGCTCACTCGAGACGGATCATCTTCGTTATCTATCGTTAAACGTTTGTACAGTTGCACGACATTGTCTGCTGTTCGTGTTAATTCGTCTGCGATCGTATTGCACAGTTGCGTCGACACTGCAAAGAGCAAATATTTGTTAGTGTCCTAGTCACAAAGCTTTACCGTTAGAGATACATAATTAAAAATGCAAACGTCCTGTATATGCTGTAGTAAATAATTAATTTATTTAATTGGTTTACATTTTTAACGACGCTTTTTTAGGTACAAGCGGATGTTACATGATTTTTTTTTTTTTTTTTTTTTTTTTTTTTTGCACATGAAGCATGTAGTACCCGCTTCACAACATGTAAAAAGGATGAATGATATCGTGCAGCGTGCAGGTTACATCAGTTCTAAAATCCGTAATGAGACCATGCTATTGTGATCGAGACCTAGAGACTTGGGTAATATTCTAACGATGAGGGCTAGTTTCTTCTGGTTTATGCAATGAGCTAAATAAGAATAGTTTCATGATTAATTCTCGAGTGATATCTTTATGACGGACATGGCACGAAAAATTTCAAACTTTTGCGATTATTTATATACAATATTTACATATTTATAAAACTTGTAAATGAATTAAACTTGAAAAGCGATCAACAATATCCGAAGGTGAAGAATTACCTTGAAAAATTAATTAAACATATAAAGCAAAAGAAGGGTCGAAAATAATGCGGTATGTCGGATTTGAAGATGCAATAACGATCTAACACGTTTCTGATTGTCTTCGTTAAAAGCTGCATTATTTTCGTTCGTTGTCAACGACGCTACTACGTTCTTCTTTAAAATTCTGAATGTAACATGTAGCAAACATTATGTACAGCGACCTACAGACTATATATTCTAGTCTGTACTAAAGTTCACAACGATTTTGTCTGAATGGTTTTTCGCTTTGTCATAGCATGATCACTTACAAATTTTTAATACACTGAAAGATTTATTATTTTCACAGGACAGCATTCTCAATAGGTGTCTTTAGTTTACCTAATGTTTTATCCGTGCCTACTGCAAGAGTAAAATTTTTATTAGGTTATAATACTTTAGACAAAAATGAAATAATAAAAAGAACTTGATACCAATCAATAAAACGTTTTAATACGTTTTCAAATTTTGTTATATCAAGTATCGTTATAATAAGTTATAATAATATTTCTTGCAATCTTGCATGCTTACACTTTGGAGAGCGACAAGATGATTGTGAATTGTGAGAAATATACGCGCGTACACGCACGCACATACGCAAAGGGGAGGGGCGGGAAAAAAAAAGGAAAGGAAATTACGGTACTTACATTCAGCACTGGCTACATCGATGGCACGATCGGTATCTTTAACTGGAAGCTCCTGAGGGCTTGGATCCAACTGGTTACGATTGGCTGTCGACATTCTGCTTGCATTCTGTCCTATCGTGCTATTGCCATTGCGACCATTAGTTATAATTGTCGTTGATCCCGATCTTCTCACTGTAGTACCGGGTAAACTTAAACTGCGAAAAGCACATCAAATATCTCGATAATAGAAACTGTTCGAAATACTGCGTTAAAGATTACGTTTATACGATAAAATTTGACGTACTTTGCAGCAGAATGGTCAATACTGATACTTCGAGGCCTTGGAGGAAGCGCTGGTTTTCCACCGTTTCCGTTAGAAGAGGTATCTTCCGAGCTTGAATCTTCTTGATTTCCCACTTGACTTAGATTTACTACAAAATAATACGGATAGAATTTTCTCAAAAACGTACTTTAGTTGCTACAATTTTCGTTATCTCTATAGACATTTACCACTTGAATATGCTCCCTGCATGCCTCTCCTTCTTAGGACCGAATGCAAATTGCTATTAGAAGAGGAGGTTGACTTTATTTGGTGATTAATTTTATTTTGTGAACTGATTGTTGGTCTCATTAATCCACTGATTCTGTTACTTCCCGCTTGATTGTTCCATCCCCTGTTGTTCCCTGCTCCAACGTCTGATTCGGAATCGCTCTGCAAAGATTACCGTTAAAACATATCCTCTATGTTTTGCGAGTTTTATTACGGCGTAATAATTTACAAAAAATGTACCTGATTTAAAACGCCAACGCTGCTGCTTCTTGTCATGTGAGAAGAATGATTCTTCGTCGAAGCGTGCCGCGACTGATTCCCGCTATTTGCACTTCCTAGTCCACTTCTCGCTGAAGCGTTCACGTTCTTATTACCTACTTTTCCTGAAACTATAAGTAGCCGTTAACAAAAATTCAGTCCACATGAAACTTCACCTACGTTTATCGATAGATTCTACGTGAAAGAAAGAAAGAAAGAAAGAAAGAAAAGAAAGAAAAAAAAAAAAGGAAAGAATTTCGTTTCGTATATTTAATACAAACGAATAAACATGTCCTAAAAGAACATAGCAAGAAATGACAATAAAGATATTCGATATTTTGAATAAAATTGCAGTATCGATAAAGACCTTTAACGCAGCCAACTTCAAGTCGATATCGAAAACATCGAGAACGCGATCGAAAACATAATCAAAATATCGAAATATTGATTGAAGATTCTACATTATAAGGGGGTCGTTCCAATGCAAATTCTAGAAGATCATACAGATTTGTGCCGTGACCTTGACAATTAGTAGAGGGCTGTTTTAAATGTGGCGTCAAAGAGAATGGCAGCAATGAAACAATATTTGAGAATGAAAATTTTGCAGGACAAAGTTGTTTGTCAAGATTCTCGAAATACATCTAGATGACTGTCGTTGGAAAGACCCTCATAAATGTGGCACACAATGAAAGGGTACCTTGTATCGGGCCATGCAGTAACCTATTTGGCGGGCTGACGGAAAGATCACTCAGCGAGCAGGCACGTCGCATGCCACCCCCCTCTTCTTCGCTGTCAAAAACTTTTGACGAGATTCGCCCCCCACTACTGCCAACTGTCGACAACAACACGCACACACATGCACTAAGCTACGGTTCTTTTTCCCTTAACTCAAAATTTTTAATTGTGTATTTGTCATTGATTCTTTTTTTTCTGCCGACTACACACTTACCTCCAACACTTTGCTTTCCAAAGTTGTCTCAGATAGATTTATCTTTCAGTTTGAAAGTAATGCAATTAACTGAATTGAATACTATGAGCACTATCGTGTTACGAATTTTTAAAATGCCGAAATGAGAAAAGCTGTTTTCTTTGCCTTTCATGCATATTGCGAAAGCAACGAATTAATTATGAAACAATAATAACTAACGCATAATTAAATTTTTGGCTAATATATACAATAAATATAAGAATTTTAAAAGTAGCTGTTGCGTTTTGATGGAAAAATAAAGATAAAAAATATATATATATATGTTGAATATGCAAAACAAGTATAAAATTCAGTTCAAAATCAATCATGAAATTTTATACCGTGACTGATTTTGGAAGAAAATTTCATTAATAAAGTAAGGCATAAAAGAAGATTCGACAGTAAGGTAGGGAAGCGGGATAAAACTACATCATAAGGACAAAACATGCGTCGATATCACGTATATCATGCGAAAGGAAAAATAAGAAAATATTCGTAAAGCGTTCAAACTGAAAAGTACATGATCGCTGTTGTCTTAAAATAAAATAATCAAATAAGAATATTTTGAAACGAATAATGATAAATGTAGAATAATACTTTACCGACGATGTAACTAAACTATACAAGGTAACATTCACATTGAGAATACAAGAGAAAAATGAACACGGCTGAACAATGAAAAAATTTTGCAATCGTGCTGCTAAGTGTTATACCATGGTATTTACACGATTTACACGAGTTGTCGTTACAAAGTCAGGCAGACATTTAATGACTCGTTCCTCGATTTTCTTGCCCGATACAAATTCTCGATTACCAGAGAATACGTTTCTTACGAGTTTTTCTTTCCTTTTTTACGAGATGTCATGCCTTTCGCTTTGTTGCCGCCATATTCTCCTCTCTGGGCATTGAGATCGATAATCGAGCAGCGAAAACATTACGGCGAGAATTTGTTTCTCAGCATCCAGATAGGAACTATGTACTACGTAACGAACGAAACGAACAGAACGGGAGAACTATTTTCTTTCCCTTGGGTCGTTTAAGTACCTGTGTAAAGATGCTTGGTTGGTAATATAGCTTGATTAATGGTGGGCAAGGTTTTAGTCCATTTCATGTGACTCTGGCAACGCGAGGCAGGCGGCCACATTCTCTTCGGTGAGTTGGTACAGCTCGAGGCTGACGTCGAGGAACCGCTCACTCCATCACCGATTTGTCCATGGCAGATGTGTCTGCGCAATCGCTATCTTCGCCCCCGGAATTGAATCTTATGTCGCGTCTCAGGGGACAGAATCTACCGTCTCTCTCCGCCTCCAATTTGGCAAAATTCTCGTTCGTTTCCTGACAATGCGACATTCGCAAACATTTCTCCTTCATAAAGTACTGTTCTCTCCTAACCAAGTTCTCGAATTCTTTAGAAAGTAATTTCACGGTGCCCTCGATAGCTCGTGTGATCCTGAGATCGACGCTTGCGTCCAAATTGTCGATGCGTTCGTTCGTCATCAGTAAGTTTGATACATTTTGCATCCCTGTCGTTTGCAAGTCGCAGGAGGTACCACCGCCAGGTTCCAGAGAGTCGTAGGTTTCCTGCGTGTCTTTTGTTGGTATTTGATTCTCGAAGCAACAGTGTCGATCTCTCTCTGCGCGGGAAGAGTCTATTTGATCCCCTTCTATATCGTGCGTTTGATAGCTCTTTGTCTGACGCGACGAATCGCTTGTATCGAAAGCATCATACATGGCACCTTTGTCGGGTCGACGAGTCTGCAGGCTGTAAAACTTGGTCTTCGAGTCTTTGTCTTCGTTGGATTGCAAAGAATAGTTGGGCGATTGTAGCAACTGCTCGATTCGTTTGGAAGTATGCAAAGTTTCGGTTCCATCGGGTTTTACGTCGGTGTCGCTTCTCGCTGATCGATCTTCAGCATGAGATTTGTTCGCGTAGTCGTCGGAGTCCGTGGACATAACGCGGGAAGACTGAGGCGACGAGTCTACGTATTTGTTCCACGCAGGACGTGCCCTGTTCCGCATACTCTGCGTCCGAGCGGAATTTCGTTTAGGCTTTGGCGGTTTGTGTGCCACGAAGTCATTCAGAATCAACATCGAATGCGGTTCTTTAGGGACTTTCAAGCTGTTGCTTCGCGAAATAGCGTCCGATTTAGTTCCGATTCTCATCTCGACGTTTGTATCATTTTGATCGTTGAAGTTGAATTCGTAATAGATGCACGTCGATGGTTGCGCGTTTTCTTCCGAATAGTTGCTCTCGTTTCTCACCTTACTTATTCGAGTGTCTTGAAGGGATTTCGATCTGAACACAGCTCGACAAGACGTCAAGTCGTTCGCGTTATTTTCCGCATTATTCGATTGCTCTATTACGTTGTTAGGATTACCGCTATACGTTTCCGAGTTTTGTCTCTTTCGTTTGTAATGGGAATCGAACAGCATCTCCAACGGAGCAGATTTTACCAAGGAATCCGAGTCGTCGGTCAACACGCTTTCCGTGCTTCGGTGGTCGATATTTTCATGCAGTGGAAACATTTGATAATCGGATTCGTCCGTCAGAATGCTCTCATGGCTTCGGCCAGCTTGTATCTTTCGTCGGGACAGGAAGAAGCTCGCGCTGGAATGCCTATCGTTGTCATAGTGACTGTAGTCTAAAATCTCGGCGCTTCCTTTCGAGAAAGACTCGATCGAAGCATCCGATAAGATACTCTCTTGGGATCCGGTTAGGATACGTTTCGGGAAATTCTGATACGTGGAATAATTTCTCTGGGAACTTTGCTGATGGTCTATGTGCATGTTTATTTGATAGTCGCTGACGCATCGTCGAGGAGGATTCTTAAAGTCTCCTTCCAGAGAGTCGTCGCTGAAGTTCCCGTTCCCTTCGTCCCCATCGTCCAGAGCGTCG